TCTTGTTTATATCATCATATATTATATTTAATTACGTCTGTAAATCTTCAGGTGTCCATCCCCATGAAGAAGTCACACAGACAGTAACAGAACCTCTGTAACGATGGAGTGGTGCTGTAGATGTTGTGAGTCGTTCTATTTCAGAGTTCACTTCTAAACGTTCTACGGTTGACTTTACTTGTGTTGATCTTGTGCCGACCTCCAGCCATCAATACACCAGAAAATAGAAACAAACTTTCATATTAGTTGCATGTCTACTTTCTCTCTCTATATATATATATATATATATATATATATATATATATATACTCTATCTGTAACTACAACAGCACAGTGTATGTTAAAATGAAATAAGTATTTAATTATTAAATAATAATAAATTCATTTGTTGATTAATAATTCATTAAGATTAGGGAGGGGCTTAATGTTCAGAGGTAAAACTCATAATTTATGAGAAAAAACACTTTTATATAATATAAATATGACTATAAAGTTACACATTTAAGAGATAATAGTATTTTTTGTCAAAGAATAAATTTCCTTCACGAGGCCGAAGACCAAAATATATTCATTATATTAGTATTTATTGTTCATAAAAGAACAAAGTAAGAACATAAAATAAATCTATTATAATTTAGATGAATAAATAAAAATAAATCTATATCTATGTTAATCATAAAACAGTGTGTGTGTGTGTGTGTGTGTGTGTGTGTGTGTGTGTGGGGCGCGGAGTATGATAACAATAATAAGCATCATCACTTTAACCTCTCAATCAACACATTTGAGTCTTTGAAAGAAGTTAGAGTCATACGTCATCAATAAAAACAAACGGCACAGTCGTATCTTTCAAAATTTATTGAACCTGTTGTAATATGATGAGATCATGGACAGGAGTCACAGACTCACCGACTAAAGACAGACGTTGCTGCAGCAAGAACCCACGTGAAGTCTCTGGAGAGGAGACGTGATCTGACGGACTGCAGGGTTCAGTGGAGGGTCGACGAGTACATTTATTGTTATTATTGTTATTATTTCTCTTTTTAGATGATGTCACGGACCAGACGTTGGTTCATGACTGTTAGTTTGAATGAGAGGGAACACAATGTTTACTGCTAAATGAATGGATTGATCCTGATTCACCTCCAGCTTCAGAATGAGCTCCGTGAGAGAGAGACAAAATTACAGTTCTTATTAGTATCAATAGTGTTTGTTTGTGAATGTTAATATCATGCACTTCATCATGTCTCAGTCATTTACCTGCATCTTCATCATCACTTGTGTCATGGCTTTAAATCTCAGACATTCCTGTTGTGAAACATTGCAGAGTTTCTCAACCTGCTTTATTTTTAGCGTCTTTGTAAACTGACTCCTTTGGGATTTCTGAGCGGCAGAAAATAGCTTCAGCGCATTAAACTGGAACTCTGGGATGTGGTGATGTGCAAATGTCTTTATTTTTAAATGTTTAAAAGGACAACAGATCTATTTCTGTGATCAGAATATATCATTTACTAGTGTATGAAAACGTGTTTTAATTACAGTCAAATCTTGGGATCTGAAAAACTCAACAATTTGAAATCAAAGCTCGTTCTTGAACTTGTGAAGTTTATAACATAACTTAAACGTAGCGTAATGTTACTTAACATAACTTAAACGTAACATAATGTTACTTAAACGTAGCGTAATGTTACTTAACATAACTTAAACGTAGCGTAATGTTACTTAACATAACTTAAACGTAACATAATATTACTTAAACGTAGCGTAATGTTACTTAACATAAATTAAACGTAGTGTAATGTTACTTAACATAACATAAAGGTAGCGTAATGCTACTTTACATAACTTAAACGTAGCATAATGTTACTTAATATAACAAGCGTAGCGTAACGTTACTTAACATAACATAAAGGTAGCGTAATATTACTTTACATAACTTAAACGTAGCGTAATGTTACTTAACATAACATAAATGTAGCATAATGTTACTTAACATAACAAGCGTAGCGTAATGTTACTTAACATAACTTAAACGTAGCGTAATGTTACTTAACATAACAAGCGTAGCGTAATGTTACTTAACATAACTTAAACGTAGTGTAATGTTACTTAACATACCTTAAACATAGCGTAATGTTACTTAACATAACAAACGTAGCGTAATGTTACTTTACATAACTTAAACGTAGCGTAATGTTACTTAACATAACTTAAACGTAGTGTAATGTTACTTTACATAACTTAAACGTAGCGTAATGTTACTTAACATACCTTAAACATAGCGTAATGTTACTTAACATAACAAGCGTAGCGTAATGTTACTTAACATAACTTAAACGTAGCGTAATGTTACTTAACATAACAAGCGTAGCGTAATGTTACTTAACATAACTTAAACGTAGTGTAATGTTACTTAACATACCTTAAACATAGCGTAATGTTACTTAACATAACAAACGTAGCGTAATGTTACTTTACATAACTTAAACGTAGCGTAATGTTACTTAACATAACTTAAACGTAGTGTAATGTTACTTTACATAACTTAAACATAGCGTAATGTTACTTAACATACCTTAAACATAGCGTAATGTTACTTAACATAACAAGCGTAGCGTAATGTTACTTAACATAACTTAAACGTAGCGTAATGTTACTTAACATAACAAGCGTAGCGTAATGTTACTTAACATAACTTAAACGTAGTGTAATGTTACTTAACATACCTTAAACATAGCGTAATGTTACTTAACATAACAAACGTAGCGTAATGTTACTTTACATAACTTAAACGTAGCGTAATGTTACTTAACATAACTTAAACGTAGTGTAATGTTACTTTACATAACTTAAACRTAGCGTAATGTTACTTAACATACCTTAAACATAGCGTAATGTTACTTAACATAACAAGCGTAGCGTAATGTTACTTAACATAACTTAAACGTAGCGTAATGTTACTTTACATAACTTAAACGTAGCGTAATGTTACTTTACATAACTTAAACGTAGCGTAATGTTACTTTACATAACAAGCGTAGTGTAATGTTACTTAACATAACTTAAACGTAGCGTAATGTTACTTTACATAACTTAAACGTAGCGTAATGTTACTTAACATAACTTAAATGTAGTGTAATGTTACTTAACATACCTTAAACATAGCGTAATGTTACTTAACATAACAAACGTAGCGTAATGTTACTTTACATAACTTAAACGTAGCGTAATGTTATTTAACATAACTTAAATGTAGCGTAATGTTACTTAACATAACATAACGTAACTTATCTGTGAAGTAAACTTTTATTCTGTTGTATTTATTCACCTTTTAACTTTCAAGCTCAATTATTCACTTTCAGGTCCCAAAATCTGAGTAAAACTGTAATTAATTGGACTTATTTTACGACCGATTAGTCCAGAATTTTCTTAACAACCGGCTCACTTCTCAAACCGGAATCTTTTTTTTAAACCGGGTAGTGTGTTTTGTGAGTAAACCTACATTGGATTTTATTTTGAAAAGACGCCATTTGTGTAAAAATCTGAGACATCTTGACTCGTGCATAACCGACCGTAGAGGGAAGCGTAGGAGCATCATGTGACGAGTTGAGAGTGAGAACGTGTTGCTCTTAAAGCTACAATTATTTTAAAGTTTAAATATAAAGCACTTTTTAAAAACCTTCAATTTGTTCAACAAATTAATTTGCATTTGCTTCTTTGCCAATAAACTTTAAATTACCAAATTGATCAGTTAGGCTTTTAATAATAAAAATATAATGTCAATATTAAATGATAAAAGTTGAAGCAGTTTACAGTCCAAACAAACAAATAAGCGTTTGGATTTAATACATCGTAGCATTCAGTTTCCTAAAGCAGCAACTTTTGGATACTTTTACATAATTACAGACGTAATCATTCATACTTTTTCAAAATAAACTTCCCTTTTGCTCAACAAATCAACAGACTTGATTGAGATAAGGATGTGAACATTTACTTTAACGTTTGAATATCTTATATCTAAAGTGATGAAACGATGAAACCCACAGATCTCTGAAGCTCTACAATCAACGTTGATTTAAATAAATATAAATATCCAACATCAGGTTCTCAGAGCGTCCTGTGGACGCTGAGAAACTCTGCTTCTGTCGCAGAATTCTGTCGCATGAGAGAATAGAACAGAAATGGTTGATATGCAGCTCACTGATCATCAGTCATGTGATCGACTGTAAATTAACTTCTTCATCATTTTTGGCAGTTTGAAGCTTAAAATAAGTGATATGAAGTCGTGTCGTCCTCTTCACTGAATATCAAACAGAAAGATTAAAGACGTGACGACCAGCCGGTCTAGAAAAGACTTTTATTCATCGCGTGTCATCAGTCGGTTCAGCTGCTCTGATGATATGAAAAACTACAAAACTTAATTTTGGTCCCTTCTGGTGCAGAAATGTGTCCAACACGACGAGAATGAACGACGACAACTACCAGCTACCCTCATGTTGTGATGTTCTTCTTTTTGTTTGATGTGATTTCATCCTTGAGAAATAAAAAGCGTGTGACGTCTTCTTTCCGACTGCACGTTTAACACGGAGCACCTTCGTAGCGTTTCCTGATTTTGACTGAAACATTCGTTTAAAGGGATTCTTCATCTTCAACCAGCCTCAAGCTGAGCGGGTGATGACACACAGCTGCTGCACACAAACAATGGCGTTATTATCTCGTTCATACCACTCATGCATTTCGTCACATTGAAAGCACAAATAATCCTTCATGACAGCTCATCTTTATATTCTGATTAAAGAGCCTCAACTTCCCACTAAAGCACGTTGGGACGAGTTGTATTTGTATTCATCTGCAGGTTTGTTGCATGTTCCTGCTGCTCTGAATAATACAAGTCCTGATTGGATCATGAAGTGAAGCAGATGTTAGCAGTGAGACTAGAAGAGAGGACCAGGTGTTTCCTCTCCTCTGATCGGGTAGAAGATGTGAGAGCAGGAGGACGTTCAGCTCCACAACTGTACGAGTTGCATGAAAGAGCTTAAACGTGTCCGATGAGTCTGCAGACTCTTTATCCAAACACCAAACCCTGCAGAGCTGAGAGTCAAAGAGGACCTGCAGACTGTGATGTAAGAAGCTCCAGTGAGTCAGAAGAAGCTCAGCTGCTCAACAAGAAGCTGATTTCTGTTGATTTCCAACACAGACTTTAACTGTGTTGATGCTTCAAGTTGAACGTTCCTCGTCAACATAACAGAACCAGCTGAGACTCACTGAAACACTCAACACGTGTCTCACCAGAACTGTTCTCACTTTAAGGATAAATTGTCAATAATTTGGGGTTATTGTTGTGAAACACTGGCTCCACGGTGACGCGTGTACATGCACACTGAGATCCCACTTTAGTTCAGAACATGACCATATGCTGAGTGTGATCCGGGACCCCGTCTACACCTCTATAATAAACAATGTGAAGCTAATAGCTAATTATTTCTTATTCATACACATTTGATATTTGGCGCTGTGGCAAAAACTCTAAAATAGAAAAAGGACTCGTATATGGACGAGCAACGAGGTGAAGAAGCTGCTCAGCGTTACTTTACAACACGAGGCGACTTAAAAACACAAGAAAACGTTGATTGCGAGTCTTTCAGCCGTCGTCCACACGGATACAAAGTTGTTTTTAAATCTGGCGTAAAAGCGCTTCACTCACTCTAAAGTCATCGACAAGAAGCCGCCACAGGCTGCTCAACATCCAGTGGGATCATGGTCACATGAACACAAGACACTGTCAGGATGTTCTGAATCAGGGTTTCTAGATTCAGAGTTTAAGAAGCTTTCTTTGGACACGCAGCACATTCACAATATGCGTCTCAATCAGGGTTTTACAGTGTACGTCGGTTCTTGTGCACGGCAGCGTTGTTTTGCTTGTATTGGTTCATTTAAAAGGGACAGTGCATATCAATAAACATTCCTGTAATGCGGCGGAGTTAGCCAAGACGCTGTTTTTCATCTGCCGTCCCTGGAAAAGCTTGTAACAGAAAAAGCCTGAAGAACATAGTTCTGCAAATCTGGCGAGAGAGCGACGGTTCAGTAAACAGGAACATGAACTCGCTCGTAAACATCAGAACATCGTCTTATTCGGGGCAAAACAACTTAAACTTTTGTGCATGTAAACGTAGTCGGTGTAGAAGTTTTCAATCAAGAAGATTTCACAGCTCTGAAGTGTGAATCTTCATTATTTCTGTCACACAAAACAAATCCTAGAATTTAAAATGAAAAGGTGTTTCTGCTTCAGAGGCTGAATCCCGGTTCACTCAGAGATCTTCATGACGTGTTGAATCATCATGTGATCAGGTGATACTCTCTAGTACATCGTACAAGTATTGGATCAGCATAGCATCACAACATTGATATTGATATTGTCTTCTATCATAATCTGCAGGATCAACACTTTGAAAACCATAATTGTATTGAAGTGTCACCAAACTGCACATATTTAGTGCTGGAGTCACCAGTGAGGATCAACACCAGCAGAGTGACCCTGAGGTCCACGTCTTCTCCTTCTACGTCCGGATGATGTGAACAGATTCATTCATCGATCTGTAACCGCACAGACATGTGCTGCCTCCTCAAATCAAAACAGCAGCAGCGCCATTTTGCTGGCCTGCAGAGTGACTAATGCTCGTGGGATTCATCTCTCTGCAGCAAAACATCCACAACTGAGCTCTCCGTCCTCCCCAACTCCTCCCTGATACGCCTGAAGCGATTAAGGAAGACGTGTACGGCTCGTTGTTCTCAGGGTTACACAAGCAGACTTTCATAGAGAGGGGGCAGGTGTGCTGCAGCTTGTTCAGAGAACGGCAGTGTCTGATCAGGCTTCTCTGACGGTGGCAGCTTGTATCCTCTGAGATGTTTGGTGCTGCATTCAGAGCCACATAGCTGCCAGTAAAGAGGGCGGGACCTCAGTGTTTTTGGGGAGACGTGGAGGTTTTTGGAACCTGTCACACTTGAAATTCAGGCAAAATAATGAGCCTTACAATATGACTTCATGTTACGTATGGCCGCACATTATACAACTGATATTTGTTATCAGTAACAATATTCCATCCGATTTGCTTCATTTTAGAGGGAATTCTAATGTTTTTCTTATTCCCATAATTGTGGCCATTCGGACTAATAAATCACGCTGACTTTGCACTTTTGGGAAACAGGTGCGATTCTCCTGGAGGTTTCCAAATGAACTTAAATCGAACATAAATCCCAAATCTTTATATGCAAATCCAAACACAAGCAACTTGCTTTTTAGAACCTTGTTAATCTGAATCAGAGTCCACAGACGAGCTCGATCTTATTCTACGGAATCAGACGTCATCTGAAGTGAAAGGTTATCAACAGGTTTCACTGTCAGTGGACAGGTTGTTCACTAGCTAGCTAACCAGACAGCTAGCTCGGTTAGCCGTCTAGTTGCCCCATAAGTACGACCCTATGCATTGAGCTAATATAGCTAATCAAATGTGATAATTTCTCTGTTTACTTTCATTTGAACTCAGAGAGAAAGGTTAGTGGTTTGCTAGTTAGCTAAGCTACCAGCTAGCTTCTTTAGCCGACAAACCGACCACTCAATTGACCCTCTGTAGTTACAATAGTTAATCCACTAATTTATGTTAGCCTTCGTTTGGATTTAAAAACAAACATTTGAGTAGTTTCATTTACATTATGACCACAAAAGAACTAATATACGAGAGAATATAACTAAGTATTGGAATGTCCGCTTATGGATGCTAATACCTGCAGATGTATAAAATAAATACCATAGTTTCTCTGTAATTTCCATGCAAACAATCCATACTTCAACACCTCTATCTTGTTCACCGTACTGCAGCCGTGTGTCATCAACAAGGACCAATGTGAGCGTCTGTGGGCCCAGAACTCTGCCTCCAGGTTAAGGAATAAATTCACTATCAAATGGGTTGAACCCTCTTCTCTTCCAGGTGTGCAGGGAGTCGTGCTTCTTCATGGCAGGAGAAGCTAAGCTGCACGTATGAGCTCTTTGTTTCCTGTCGTATCGGGAGGCACTTCAGTCAAATCTATAATGAGACGGGGTTCAAGGCACTAGAAACTAATTTTAGATATATCTATGCAATTTGTTTAAATATGTCTGCTTCCCTTCTTCAAACTGTTTTTAAAAGTCAAATGCATGAAAGAACAGAAATTGGGTCACAAATGACATAAAGAATGATCCCACGCTCTCCACCATCACAGATCAAAGCTTTCCATGAGAGGATGTTATTTCTGAAGTGTGATTCTTTAAAGAGCTCATCAGACATGTCTCTTCTGATGCTTGTTTTTTGTTGCCCCTTTCCTTTTGTTTCTTGTTTTTGTTTTTTTAGCAGATTTGTCCCCTCCGGCAGTTATAGCTCCGTCATGCACCGTATCCCGTCGTTAGCTTGACAACAATGAGGAGAATCATCATCATCATCATCATCATCATCATCATCATCCCCCAGCTCCCGAGGTCCCTCCACAACTGCAAGCAATTGAATACTGTAGTCATGCATTGAGTATACGTAGCTATACCATAGCTAATTAGGCCATAATGCTTTAGTATTGTTCACATGCCATGATCTTCCAAAAAGAAGTGTTCCTGTTCCCTTAATGCGTTAACATTCAACATGTAAATGCTTCTGAAAATAATTAAAAAACAATAATAATAAATAGCCAGTGCACTTTTGGTGAAAACAAATGAAGAGAAAAAGTTCCAGGAAGAGAAGATGAGGGTTTTAAAAGAAGAGAGAGGGACAAAGAGAAGAACATGTCAAAGTAAAAATGAGGTCAGGTCTTGTGCATGCCGATATAAGAGAGAAGAGTCTCCACATGCTTTCTTTATATAAAGGAGTGTTGCATGGCGTCACACAGGGAACCTCCAGCCGACCTGTAGCAGCAGCAGCAGATAATCCTCCACGAGGCTCGGCACACTTCCTGTTTGGTTCTTAAGGTGCCTGGAAAAAACATCCGTCAACATCTGGTGTTGAGTTTTCCCAAAAAAAATAAAAAGTTCCTGGATGTGCCGCATAAAAAAAAACACTGTAATCCACTCGGAAATGTGACGAAGTTCTTCAGATCTCAGCTAATTGTTGTTTGTTTGTTGTTGAGTCTTCTGCACAAAGCTCGGTGTCGGGAGATTTGTGGATAAATTCTGGTGTCAGATGAGTTAATTGTTCCCTCGTTTCATTTATATATTCAACTCTCAAACTTTTCTGCCTTTTCTTAAACTAAATGTGGGACTTTGTATTCATATCCTGCACTGCTATTATTCTCTTGTTTCATCTTTTTTAACTTATTTTAATTATTATTTCCTGTTGTTGAAAGGTGCTACACCAGTACATTTGCCTTGAGGGAAATGAACTCCCTTTGATTTACTAAATCTTTGCTGTTAAATGACGCTCTTGTGCATCCGTCTGTATCCATGAAAAGCTCCAAAAACAAGATTGTTTTCATGTCATTTGATGTGAAACAAGCTACAAATTCCTTTTCAGAGACGTCAAAGACAGAATACCTCGAGATCACTTCAGGACTGCAGTTTGAGAATGTGCGAGAGATATTTTTTTAAATAACGGAATAAATTGGTGCAACAGTGACTCTTGTCTCAAGTTTTGGAGCAGAGACACTTGTTTCTACATTTCCCATAGTGCAACTTGATAATAACTTACATGATGTCACTTCCTGTCTGGTAAGTTTGGAATGATCAAAGCAGAAGAAGTCGAGACGTCCTGACTTATGTCTTTCGTTAGACTCTTGCAAATCTCCCAAAACGACTGATTAATATATCAAAGAAACATTCCCCCCCGACACCAGCTGATCTCTGTGATTACCAAACAAGTCTGTCGTTGTGTTTTCATGAACTAACTGAGCCTTTCTACCTTCTTTTGTTTTGTAAATGTGTCTGAATCAAAATGCAAAAGAAGAATTAAAATGCACCAATGGAGATAAAGCATCGAGATATTTCTACAATATTTACACCACCGCGGAGCACGTCGGTTGTCGGTTTGTCGCCGCCTCACACGTCGGTGAGCAGCTTCCCCTTGTTCACACAGTTCTGGCTGGGCGCCGTGCAGTTGGCAGTCCTAAGGTTCGCTTCCCTAAAGTTATCGATGCTGTTGTTCATGTCCTCGTCTATCTCCATGTACTCCGACTTGCTGACCGCCGACGAGCTGCGGCGGCTCGAGTTGGTGTCCGACGCCAAGTTCTGGTTGCTGACGTTGAGCAGCTGCGCCTGCTCCTCGCCCTCCGTCTCGCGGTGGTAGAAGTAGTTGAAGTTGGACACGATGACGGGCACCGGCAGCGCGATGGTGAGCACGCCGGCAATTGCGCACAGCGAGCCCACGATCTTCCCCCCGATGGTCACCGGGTACATGTCCCCGTAGCCCACGGTGGTCATGGACACCACGGCCCACCAGAAGGCGTCGGGGATGCTGGTGAAGAACGAATCCTTCTCCTCGGCCTCGGCGAAGTAGACGGCGCTGGAGAACAAAATCACGCCGATGAAGAGGAAGAAGATGAGCAGGCCCAGCTCCCGCATGCTGGCCTTTAGAGTTTGACCCAAAATCTGGAGCCCCTTGGAGTGCCGGGACAGCTTAAAGATCCTGAACACCCTCACCAGGCGGATTACCCTGAGAATAGCCAGAGACGTGGCCTGTTCCCCTCCTCCTCCTCCTCCTCCTCCTCCTCCTCCTCCTGCTCCTCCCTTACTCTCCTTGCTGTCCTGGTCGTCGGCCAGCTCCGTCCCGAGCGTGATGAAGTACGGGATGATGGCCACGATGTCGATGGAGTTCATCATGTTTTTAAAGAACGCCGCCTTGCTGGGACAGGCGAAAAACCGGACTATCAACTCAAAAGAAAACCAGATGATGCAGAGCGTCTCCACCACGAAGAACGGGTCTGTGAGGACGTTCGGCTTGTAGTAAATCGTGATGTTCCCCACGACGCGCATCCGCTGGTTGGGATCCTCCTTCAGCTCCGGTAACGTCTCCAAACAAAATATGACTATTGAAATAAGGATAACCATCACCGAGACGATGGCGATCCCCCGGGCGGGACCCGAGCTCTCCGGATGCTCGAAGAGGAGCCAGATCTGCCGCTGGAACTCCTTCTCCGGCAATGGTCGCTCCTCCTCCCGGATAAATCCCTCGTCCTCGCGAAACTTCTCCATGGCCTCCGCGCCGAGTTCGTAAAACTTTATCTCCTCCGAGAACATATCCAGCGGCACGTTGACCGGCCGCCTCAGCCTCCCGCCGGACTGGTAGTAGTACAGGATGGCGTCGAAACTCGGCCGATTCCGGTCGAAGAAATACTCGTTTCGCAGAGGGTCAAAGTAGCGCATCCTCTTCTTGGGGTTCCCGAGGAGGGTCTCCGGGAACTGGGCCAGCGTCTTCAGCTGCGTCTCGAAGCGCAAGCCCGAGATGTTGATGACCACCCGCTCGCAGCAGTCGTGGTCGTCGTGGTCGTCGTCGGGCGGGTACAGGTCCTGCGGGTGGCCCGGCAGGGTGGAGGTCTCGTCCATGTTCTCCGTGGACACCACAGTCATCCTTGCTGGCGGGCGGTGGTGGTGGGCGGGAAGAAGAGGAAGTGGCGTGAAGGTGAAGGACAGCAGGTCGAAAGACAAGAAGCCTCTACTGAGGCCGAGAGCTGTGCAGAGCCTCCCTCTCCTTCATCATCATCATCACCGTCGTCTTCTTTCTCCTCATCGAACGCTTCGTCACCTGCAAAGACGGACAAACGTCTCAGATATAAAACCCACCGTGTGCTACACTTCAGCAGCCCTGTGCTGCAGTCACTGGACCTCTTTTTTTTACCGCATACATCAGTATTCAAGTTTGCAGTCCTGCTGCGCTTCCTCTCTCTCTCCTTCTCTCTCTGTCTCTCTCTCTCTCTCTCTCTCTCTCTCTCTCTCTCTCTCTCTCTCTCTCTCTCTCTCTCTCTCTGCGCACATCAGGACCTGCAGTTCTCTTCTCACTCATCACATTTAAACACTTATACAAATCAACAGATCAATAAATGTAAATTAACAGAGAAGCTGATGGATTTAAAACACCTACCTTGAGTTTTGGAGAGCAGCAGATGGAGAGGAAGGTCCCCCCCCCCCCCCCCCCCCCCCCCCACCACCCCCCCTCCACACACCTTTTCCCCAACTTGGGGTTTAAAGCTGATATCGTTTTACAGGATCTCTTAAAACTGGATAGACTATGTTGTCTTGGTCCACATCCGGATCCTCTTGGTGTTGGTTGTCAGCCCGCTGCAGCAGCAGGAGGAGGAGGAGGAGGAGGAGGAGGAGGAGGACGGTTCTGAACCTCGGCTCAGCTGCAAAAATCCTGACTGACAATTTATTAGAAGCATGACGGGAAATAAGGAGAGAATCAGACGCCGGATCGATGCGCTCCCAGTCTGTTCTGGGAGGACTGGACACTGCAGCATCAGCAGAAACGCGTCTCTCTCTCTCTCTCTCTCTCTCTCTCTCTCTCTCTCTCTCTCTCT